CCTGTGGCCACTAACGGTCATAATTTCTCTGCTTTGTTTCAAGACCCGCATCAGAAAGCTTTTGAATGGTGCTACTTTTCCAGTTGGTCTACCTGCTCTTCACGTAGCTCTGCATGCGTCGTTTAGGTGCTTTCTTGAGATAGGCACTGCTCATCCACTCCTCCATAGTACGCCCCCCCGGAGGTCGAAGTTAATCTAAATGTTTCCATCTTAGGCTTGTAAGTTTGTTTCGTAACTGAAGAAATGCAAATATATTTATAAAACTGACAAGTCAAATCAAGCAATCTGATTGGTCGATAGTGTTTTTGTGGACCTCTTTGATTACAGATTTGAAAACATCGTTGCTTGCTTTAAAAGTAGCACAATTCATTATGTCAAACCTTGGAAAGTGTCTAGATATCCCTGCCCTAATGCCTAAGGAACTGCACACTGAATATGTTTTGCCGTTTGATGTCTATGTCTGGACCGCTGCGTAAAAAGGAGGGTTTCTGCCCCCGTTACTTCTCCGCTGCTTTCTTGTTCCAGTATCTTTTTCAGCCCATCGGTATACTGTTTTTCGTAGACGCGGAGGGATACTGACTTGTTGTGAAAAGTAACTTACAATTCTACCCATGGTATACGCTCAGTATATCACGGCTAAGAACCAATCAGATTGCTTGATTTGACTTGTCCGTTTTATAATCCCCTGTATTAACTTATAATAAGGCGCTGGATGACATCTTTTTAAAAAGTATTCCCCATTACCTTAATGCAAAATGAATAATAATGTAAAATACATGATGGAACTTGTAAAAACAGATATTATATTCCTACTGAAATGAGGTAGGTATTCTCCATTAATTTGCTAAAGCCACACTCTGCTTCATACTGTCTGTTAACCACTGCCACGCATAACAAAACCAAGCCGGGCAACCCTAAGGCCGGATGTGGACAAAGAGCAAAAAGCAGAGCAGCACTCTGCAGCAATGGGCCTACATTCTTTTCTTTTCTATATAAACTACCGGTATGTCATCTTTTACACGATTATTTACCCCATGGGAACACTTTTTCACAGACATCTCTATACTGAATACATAAATGAGTAATGCTGCTCAATTACGGCAGAGCCCTTTTGTTTACAGCTGGGAAAGCCAATCTCTTAAACCTTAAACATCAGATCAGATATTCAGTAAACAGCCTGGCTTTACCATAATAAACATGATGCTATCTTTAGAAACAAGATGAGTAAAGGATGAAGGCGAGTATACGTATTAATAACAAGATTGCAAGAGGGAAAGCTCTGATAGAACTGTATATTATATGTAGTAATATTTAATTTTAGTATTTGTTCGATATATATCATTCCAAGCACCACACGGTAGCCTTGTTTGTTACAATAATGTGTGTTAAACATTGGAAAAAAGGCTTAACATTTGGAAATTGGTGCCAAGAATATCTGTGTGTCCTCCTCTCGCCAAGTTGACTCTCTGTCCAACATGTAAGTATTGGCCCCAGTGCAAATATTCAGCAAAGGAAGAGAATGAGAGCAGAGAGCAGAGATAAGCTGTCTTGCATGGGAAGATCTGCTCTCTCATGACACAGACCCCTAGCCGCTTATCCTACATGTGCACAACAGGAAGCCAAAGAAGAGTTCACACACTACACACACACACACACACACACACACACACACACACACACACACACACACACACACACACACACACACACACACACACACACACACACACACACACACACACCTAATAACCTAAGCACTGCATAAAGCTTAATAATGCCCAGTGGTGTTGAGCAATACATTTACCCAGGTAATGTACTTAAGTACATGTTTGAGGTACTTTACTCAAGTATTTCCATTGTATGCTTCTCTATACTTCTATTTACTCTACAATTCAGATGTAAATATTGTACTTTTACTCCATCACATTTGTGTAGTACCTTTAGTTACTTTGCAGATATAGATTAATGATAAACAATATAAACACTTCGTTACACCTGGATTACATTCACATGCTACCAAGCAGTAAATTAAGTAATTAAAATAGCTCCACCGTGACCAGCTTGATGAACACATCAATAATTTAAATCAAAACATATTATATATATGATTGTGAAATATGCACAACGAGTACTTGAGTATTTTTAGATGACAATACTTGTCTAACGTTTTGAACACATGACTTTTACTTGTAACAGGGTAATCCTACACTTTGGTATTTCTACTATTACCTAAGTACAAGATCTGATCATGCCTAATGATGCTGTACGAGCCAGAATACCCGAAACAAGACACACATTTACGTAGACAGCAATAGCAAACCGCTGGACAGCTGTCATCTCCTATGTGTGTCAATCAACTACAATAACACAAAGGATCATAGTTGACAGCAAGTGAGGCTTAATGTGGCACAGGAGAGGTCATAGAAACATCGTCAACTGGACATGAGATGGTCTGACTCACCGAATGGTTGACTCCCCACATGAGCACGCTGAGCAGCGGGTCGCTGGCACGGAAGAGCTTCACTTTCTGGGCGACGAAGTGCTTTTTCTTCGTCTTCGTTTTGCTCGCAATAGCTGCGGCAATGCTGCTCGCCGAAGCCATCTTTTAGCAATCTGAGTTGGTTTTTGCAGATCTGTGCGATTATCCTGACAGAGTGTGTCTCTCCCCTTGAAGCTGGCACAAGTGGCCACTAGCTCACGACTCAGAAATACAAACACTTTTCATTTCTCGCAAATCAAAGTCAACGAATTATTTTCTACATCAAACGTGCCTAACAGCTTAACACACGCTACGGCCCTATACGAAAGAAACAGTAGGAGAAACTAGGATGTGTTTAGGCTAATACTGCTGCTCTCCTTCGCCCAACAGTATGCTGCTTCCCTCAGCACACATCATAAGTCACCTCTCTTCCTTCCTTCACAAGCTAGTCCCCTGTGATGTGAGCTGGCGTTAGCATAGCCAAGAAGCTAGCAACGATAGATTCAGCAATATTAACAAACGAATTAAACAGGAACACTTTACAGCCCCGTGACAAATACACACAAATAATTATTTAGCTTTAGAGTAGAGTATTACAATGACACCTTAATGACGCTGAATGACTAACTAAACGCTCTTGACTATCCGCTAACGTTAGCTCCTCCGACCTTCGCTAGCAAGTAGCGAACTGACGGCAAAAAACACAACCAAACACCGTACACTAGTCTACTAGCATTAGCCTACAAGCTAACCAGCAGCCAACTAGCCCTCCTGCTACCTGCCCGTGTCAGTCCGTGGAGATGAAAGGGGTTTATCCTGTCATGCCTTTTCTCCGTTTGAATTAAAACGCAGAGGAGCTGTTATTTCGAGGTAAAAATCACCGGGTGGTCGAGTGTGGGTCTGCAGCTTCTTGTGAGCTGCTGTCACTGACAGCTCGAGGAGGGAGGTGACAGCCTGCTGAGATCTGCAGTGGCTGCGGCGCTGATTCGCTGCAACCCTCCTCCACCGGACCTATGCTACTTTTGTTGTGGTGTTTAATCAAACCTGTAAGTGTTTTTAATACCTAAATATGCATGTACATTTCAAATAAAAATCGCAACGTGCATTAATCAGAAAACCCCGTTTCGATGTGAAAATTGAGCATTTTTGTGACGACTTTTCATTTTCAGGTGGCCATATGGATTTGAGAGTGCGTGCAGGGATGCACGTGTCTGCAGCTCTTGTAATAATGATAATGCATTAGCGGGGAAACCTGTACATCATCCCGACCATCCCCCATCCTTGGCTTGCTTTCGTTTATATTAAATCTGAGGCACATTTCAGGCAGAAGGGTGGTCATGTCCCACACCACCAGAGGTAATGTCTTTAGAGGTCATTTGGTTTTCTGGTGCATGCTGTTTCCACTGGCACATTGCGGTGTCAGAGCCTCTCTGAGAGCAGGAGGCCTCAGTGCGCTGGAGAGGTAATTTGTTTTATGACTCACTCTTCACAGCAGTAGCTACATTTACCTCAATATTCTCCAATGACCTGTACAGGACACACCGCAATTCCCCATCAACAAATGTACTTACGCGTTTGATTTTCCATTGCTTCCCCCCATTCCTTTTTATGGAGGATTAACTCAGAATGACAGATTTAGGAAACATATTTTGATTTTGTCCTTTGCATCATTTAATATCTTGTAATTCAACATCTCTGTGGTATGCAAACAGGAATAGCCTACAAAACATTGAATACACTTCAAAATGCTGACCCACGTCCATTTTTACACAATATACATGATGAAATTGCGTCAGTAACACACATTTAAAGTCAATAATTAAAGCCTAATATATTTTAACAATAACTTGATGTTTTATAGGAAAATTACCCTCATTGCCTAACTAGGCAAGCGTTGCCTAGCAACTCAGTGTCAACCTCCTTTTCCACAACACTAAACACACAGCCTTCTTACCGGTTGCCATGCTAATTATAAATACAGAATTTGTCCTTTAGTTTGGTGGAGAAATTGGTAAATCATAGTGAAATTTGAAGAGGTGGGTCTGCACTTGTTTCTAAAGCGTTATTTATGAACCTGCTAATGTGGCTGTCGGGTTAGCTTTGTAGCTATGAATGCTAATGTGGTATAGCATAGGTTGTATTCCTCTCAAACGGCTGTGATCAATAAACGCTGTTAAGACAAATATTCTTTCTCTCTAGGTCACAACATGGGGAAGAAAGCAAAAAAGGAAGCTGAAACTCCATGCAAGGAACCGGTGAGAGATAAATGTTTCTAAAAAGGTTTCTATAGCCTACTTTGTTTCCATTGTAGCCTGATGCCCATTTCCCTCTCTCCACAGTTTGAGCCACTACCTGTTGAAGGAAAAACTCCAGAAACAGTGGTGTTGCTGCTGAGCTCCCAGGAGGAGGATATCCTAGTCAAAGCCTGTGAAGCAATACACACATTTGCAGAGAAAGGTACAGTAAGCTATACTGCTAACCCCTAATTGTTTTTTTGTGTGCATCCCTGCAGCTTGAAAGCACAACATGTACTTGTGGATGACCACTGCTCATCTAATATCTTCAGTTTTGTTATAAAATCTACATTATCATCTAATTTGTTTCCCTTCTAAGCTCAAACATTTAGAGGTGACATGCTATTATATTACCTGTGTATTACTATGTTTAACACCATCCCAATTGTATGTTGTTATCTGCCATTGTCTTTGATTACATTACAGGGTTTATCTTTACTAATACATAATAAATGCCCACAGGCACTGTTAGTCTGTTTGGCACCATCGTGCTTAATTTCCCTGTTGACTGTCTCCCCCTGTTGTTAGGAGATGATAACAAAGTCTCTCTGCTGGGACTCGGGGCATTAGAGCCTCTCTGTAAGCTCATCAGCAACAACAACAGGCTGGTCAGACGCAACGCTTTCATGGCCTTAGGCATCATGGCCACCAACGGTTTGTCAGACAACATACAAAATCTAAAATGTGACTAAGATGTTTGATGACTGTTTCACACGTGTTGACTGGCAGCACAATTCACTGTTTTGTTGACTTACACACTGAGTGACTGATGGGTTTGCTCGCTGAATAACTGTTCCTCAGTTATTAATCTTGTCTCATGTTTCAATTGAAAGGTGAGGTAAAGAGTGTTCTGAAGAAAAAAGATGTCATTCCATCAATCATTGACAAACTGTCACTTGAAGGTGAGTGAAGTGAGTCAGTTGATGTCAAGATGAATAGACGCAGAAGCACATGTGTACTTATAGCAGGGGTGAAAGAAGTACTCAGATATTTTACTTAAGTAACAATAGCAGTAACAAAAAGAAAACATCTATTTATGTGATGCACTTTTGGATTGATAGCCTATTCATTTATGTAAACATCATTTCAATATTGTAACACCACTGACATGTCACTCATTTTACTCATTTCATACATCAGGTGGCCTATTTTTGTAATTTTAGGATCAATAAATATATTTCAAGGTCTAATCTGGTTTGAGTACGGGGTCACATTTTAGCTTTCAGATAATATAATAATATAGTAGAGTAAAAAAGTTCCTCAGAAATGGAAGTATAGTACTTGAGTTAATGTACTGAGGTACTTCACACCACTGTTTAGTTGCACAATAACAAATGTTAACACTGTTTTCTTTCCCATTCAAGAAGATACAGTGGTCCATGAGTTTGCGACACTGTGCCTGGCCTCTCTGTCGGTGGATTTCGTCTGTAAGGTCCAGATCTTTGACAACAAGGGCCTGCCACCTCTGATCCAGCTCCTCTCCAGCCCAGACCCGGATGTGAAGAACAACTCGCTTGAAATCATTTTTAACTTAGTTCAGGTGACTAGTGGAGATTTCAAGGCTACATGGTCAAAAGCTTTTTCATGTTGGACACATACTGTAGACGTTTGGGATTATTAAAATTCAAAAGGTTTTACAATTGTCATTTTCCTTTCGTTTCCTGTGTTGAACTGTATGTCTGTAGGATCACAAAAGTCGACTGGCAGTCCACGAGTCGGGCGGGATCCCTCCACTTCTGGAACTGTTAAAGTCCGACTTCCCTGCCATTCAGCATTTGGCTTTAAAGACGCTGCAGAATGTCACCACTGATGCAGACACATGCAAAACATTCAGGGAAGAGCAAGGGTTTGAGAAACTCATGGAAATCCTCAGTAACACGGTATATGAGAGAGACAACATGTGTATCTATATCTCACCCTTTAGTTTTAGAAAATAACATCGAGAGAGTTAAAAATACCCAGGTTTTGTTTGCACTATTAGCTAGAAATGGTCCCCTTTGAAATATCACTTTTTCTAAAAACCGGATGCCCTTTAAATCCTATAAATCTTTTTTATTTCCAACAGGACTTCAGTGACCTTCATGCTGGGACCCTACAGGTAGTTGCTAACTGCTTGAGTGACAGTGAGAGTTTACAGCTGATCCACAAGGATGGAGGACTGAAGAGGCTGATGGAGTTCGTTCTCACCCCCCACACGCCTGACATCCAGTCCAATGCTGTGAAATGCATCACCAGGGTTGCTCATAGCTGTAAGCACAGAAGGAAACAAGAGGTTTTTGTACTTTAAAGCTACGGGTTTAGAATTCATAAGGGAAATATTCAACACTTACTTTCTCTCTGTTTGATTCATGGTGTGAAGCTGAGAATCGCAAACTGCTCCATGAACAGAATGTGGAGAAGGTTCTGGTAGAGCTTCTGTCTGTCGCGGACATCAGCGTGCAAACAGCAACCTGCCAGGCGGTGAGCGTCATGAGCTTCCACCTCGCCAGCAAAGACTGCTTCAGAGACCTGGGTACACACACATTCACACAACAACACTAACATTAACACACACATTCACCAGAAGGAAGTGTGAATGAGTTGCATCTGTGTGTGTTTCAGGTGGAATCCCTGCAGTTGTACAGCTGTTGAGCAATGAGAGTTTGGTGCTGAAAGAGGCAGCAGCAGAGGCCCTCTCTTACCTCACACATAGCAACCAGCTCAACATGTTGTGAGTGACACACAACTGTACAAAAAACTGTAGTTTGCAGTCTTTAAACGTTTTGTATGTGTTTTAAGGTTGTGCAGTGTTCCTTCCTCTCCACTATTTCACAAATGATTTAATGCTTCATCCGTCTTTGCACGGTTCTCCCTGACTGAATATCCATTTACCTCTCTTCTCTACCTTTCTCCATTATAACCTTCCACCTTTTTTATTCCCCTGACAAATCTTCCCCATACCCATCGTCTCTCGGTTTGACTTCATATTTCAGTATTACTGTCTCCTTCCGTTCTCGGGACATTTACCTCCACCTCCCATGCATCACCGCCTCACTTTCCTTAGCCAAAATGTTTCTTATACTCTACCTATTTGTACAAATCCAACATACATACATTCCATGCTGCATGCTTTGTTATGATACTGCATTTATAGTCAGCTCCTTGCATTAAATCACTCAACCATTTCTGTTCTATCTGCAGTGCAGTGTATGAGGCAGGAGGCCATGAAGTCCTTGTCCAGCAGCTAAATGGAAGCTGTCTCAGGACGTTGGCTAATTCTGCTGCCACACTTGGCAACATGGCAGCGCAGGAGGTCATCCGCTGCAGTATTCTGTCCCTAGGAGCCGTTAAAGCTCTGGTGGAGCCCCTGAACTCCACAGATACACAACTGCTGGTCAACACCACGCGGTGCCTCGCAGTGCTGACCTGTGATACAGAAGCCAGGGCAGAGGTGGGTGTCATTTAACACTCATATGATTTGATCAACTAATAGATTCTTTGATTTATCAATAGATCCGTAAAAAGGAATTTAGCTTACAAAAAATGACGAATCACCCGAAGAAAGCTTAGTCAACAAAGACCAAAACAACCATCCATATAAAGGGGAAGCCCTAGTTTTGCATAAAGGAAATATCAGTTCAGTTTGCTGATATTGATTTTACTGTTCCTGTTTTTATTTTTATCTTCATCTCTATAAAACTGAAACTAACGGAACTAAAACTCCATGTCCTACATAGCTGCAAAGTGCTGGAGGCCTTCACCCACTGGTCAATCTTCTGCGTTCCTATCACAAAGAAGTGTTGCACAATGCATGCTGGGCTATCAGCGTCTGTGCCAGTGATGGGCCTGCCGCTGTGGAGATGTGCAAATTTGGGTAAGAAACTGACTTAAGGAAATGTAATTAAAAGTTTGGAGACCAGCTCATAGTAATATCTTGAATAACCACTAGATGGCAGTATAGGACAGTATTACATGATGCTCCTCACTAAAGTATGGAGCATTTTGTTCATGTATTTTTATATTTATCAGTAGTCTGAATATATCCCTATATGATTGCATTTCTGTTCTGTGTATGTGTCTCAGAGCCCTGGAAATGCTACAGGAAATCAACCAATCAGTGAATCGAAGGACCCGTTTCAGCGAGCTGGCTATGATCAGCCTGCTTAACTCCAACCTGTCCGCCAAATACAGCCTGACCAGTCACTTAGCCTCCACTGACCTTATATGTGACGGCTTCTATGACGCTGGGAAGGTGTGTGTGTGTGTGTGTGTGTGTGTGTGTGTGTGTGTGTGTGTGTGTGTGTGTGTGTGTGTGTGTGTGTGTGTGTGTGTGTGTGTGTGTGTGTGTGTGTGTGTGTGTGTGTGTGTGTGTGTGTACTTTACTAAACTGAGGTCAACAAATATATGTTGTCCCATCTCCAGACATGCTCATAATCTTACTATATTCCACAACTTGAGATTTTTTAATTGATCTGTTTTAACCAATATCCGTCTGAAACCATACTGTAACAAAGGGTGTTTAACACTTTTGCATCAACTCCTTTTCTGTCTCTCTTTTTCTCAGGCTCGTGCAGGACAAAGGATTCTGACTTTAGAGGAAATGTCAAAGCAGCCGGTCAACGAGCACCGGCCCATCATTGTAGTCAACACAGCAGCAGAGTATGTGTTCTTGAATGTCTTAAAACAATTCATTAAGTATTAAAAAACTAGAACTAAACTTTGAGAATATATCCAGCCGCTCCCCACACTGCAAATCAATCTTACACTACAAGCAGAGTGGGAAACTAACAAGAACACCCACACAGATGGTGGTAGAGACATAACTGAGTGTTTTACACTTCCAGCCACACCATGAAGTTTGCCAGTACAATTTATTGTGGCTGTTAGATTACCAACACCCTCCCCCTGTTTTCTCCAATCCAGTGATCCCATTTCCCCCCTTTAGCTTCTTTTTCTCCCCTCTCCTCATTGCCTTCTGTTCGTGTGGCCTCTTGAGGGTAAACGGTCCCTTTTTTATAAACAATGGCAACACACACACAGCTAAAGAGCCTTTGTGTTTAGACTAATGGACCTACGAGAACAACTATGATGATGCCTGCACAGCACACACACACTGACAATAAAAATACATGAATGTGTATCAAAGTCTAAACGTGCATAGTATACACACATTTAAACAAGCTTCCAGCATTTTGATGAATTAACATGGCCATAGTGAGAAGAACCCCCTCATGGTCAACCATGTCCCCCCTTAAGCACACACACACGCACACGCACACGCGCACACACACACACACACACACACACACACACAGCATCTGAGGCATTCTTAAGCAGTTTGTTATGTAATCTGTTCATGAGTTAGAATGACGTAAGTTTGCCTTTTTAACCTTTGAGAGCAAATGGGTGCTCATGTGTGTCGCATGCATACAGACAGCCACATAAACACACAACAACAACAACAACAACAACAACTGAGGACATACTGTACAAGAAGAACAGTGAAAAATAGAATAATAGATCTGTGTTCAGTTATTTAAACCCTTCAATCCTTTCTGCTGCAGAGAGACAGTGGAGACAGAAGAGAGGCAGAGCAATGCATCAGAAACAGACACCAGCAGCAAGGCAGAGCGCAGGACCCCGAGGTGAGTCTCAGAATAGTATCATATTAACACTGCCAATAATATATATCCTAGAACATTTAGTAGTATTTCTAGATGAGGATTTAGGGTATTTGTTATATGCTGTGTGATTAATGAACAAACGTAAACAAAGAATGTAGGCCACTGTCAAATCACAGGTGATATTCTCCCTTATTTTAAAGACACTGACTGAGTTCCTCTTACATTTACTGTCCTTGTGCATAGGAAGAAGAAAGAGGAGGACAAACAGAAAGATGAGCCCCTATCCGAGAAACCGTGGAAGATGATGGACGACGTCTCGTTGCAGCTTCTCATTAAAGAGGCCAAAGAATCCATCATCCCTCTGACTGATGAACGGGAGCAGTGTGCTGCCTTGGCAAGGTGACGGATTAATGCAGTCCGCACATAACCAACACGCACTGTCACTGTAAATAAAAGAAAATCACTGAGTATGATATGATTGGCAGCCATTGTTCTTTGATAATATAACCTACCTGTGAAATGTTGAAGGTTCCTGCACTCTAATGTGTTTTCTGTGCATGGATTTGGATGTCAGGCTGGTGAGTGAAGCCATGGGAGGAGCAGTGGAGATGGAAAGGTTGCATGAATATCCGTGGTTGCTGCACCTCAGCGAGCTCAAGTTTCAGCTTCAGGCGAACGTCGTTCCCATCGGCTTGATCAGTAAGGGTATCTACGGCCATAGGGCTCTTCTCTTCAAGGTACCTAGATACCACACAGCATCATCAATAATAATAATACATTTTATTTGTAAAGCACCTTTCATTGCTCAAAGTAATCCCAAAGCATCTTATTTCAAGCCCCTTTGGATTAGCATGATGTGCACAATAACATATTAAAAATAGGTGATTTGGTTTCTATAGAATTATTCTCCAACCTTTCTTTTGCTTTCCCTGTTCAGTGTCTGGCTGATTGCATTGGACTGAGCTGCACACTGGTCAGAGGGGAGTATAACCGGGCATGGAACGAGGTGCTGCTCTTCAACAGGAAGGAGCGCCCTGCACAGCCCTGCCGCTACACAGTAGACCTCATGCACCAGCCTGGAAGCCTGCTGGCACCAAATACACTTGCAGCTGTGCAATACCAGACTATATAGCAATATATTGATTTGTATTGTGTGTGTATTTGTAGTTAAATCTGACAATAAAGTATCAAATGTTCAGTTGATTATTGTGTTGCATGCCCCAGCCTAAAGGAAACACGCTGCCTGTGCTCTTTTCTGATAAACACACTGGTTTAACCTGGTTCTTCCCAACAGAGGATTTACAGTGTAACTGCAGAGGAGAGACAGGTTGTTATCAGGTGGTCTTTATCTGGTGTTTGTGCCTTGAATGAGGTCAGATCATTGAAAAGGAAAGGAAAACATATTTTTGTCAGGAGTCAGAGCATAATGTACCGTAGGATTGCCCAGTGCATAATAAGTTCCTATAATATGAAGGTGTTATTGCATACTGTGCATTACTATACCTCAATGTTGTTTTATTGGAAAATGTGTAAAACACCAACTATATACAGTATATCATCATATAAAAAAAATATGTAGATGGGATAAAAACACAAAGTAGCCTGCTGCAACGGTAAAAAAAAAATCTATAAAAAAGGAAATGATTCTAGGAAAAAAACCAGTAGGTCTGCAATATCAATATAACGCTAAAATACACTAGCAATAACACTTACAATGGAGCTGCTTTTAAGCCATAAAGAGCTTTAAGCACCATTTCTAGCAATAAACCTCCAGTGAACCCTTTGGACTGCACCCTGTAGCCGGAGATGTGATCGTTGACCCGGTCACACAGCGCGGAGGAGCCGGGGAGGACCAGCGGGAACTCGCCTCTGCGGATCAGTCCGGACACACTGCACACACACACACTGCACACACACTGATATCAGGACTTGACTTTAGACACACTTCAGCAGCAGAAGCAAACATGTCGCGTTTCGTCGCCCGTCTCTCCGTAGTATTTTCCCAGCAGGCGACGGTCAGATCCGCGGTGTTACCGAGGAGGATCCCGGTGTTCATTCGTCCCGTGTCCACATCGCAAGGTACTGGGATAAAGTTTGATTTCTTCACCAACAGACAGTTATCTCAGGTTGCACACTCCTGCAGGTGCACGATGCTGCACTTTTCTCACAAAGCATGGAATAACAAACCTGCTGCTGGTGCAAAAAGGGACTACAATTAAAGTGGGATTGTAGGATTCAGATGAGCTGCATTTTACTTTATGAATTTGCAGTTACATTTTATGATTGTTTTGTTCAGCCTTGAGGAGTGAGGTCTGGTGTATTATGTTCCAAGTCATGTGATAACCATTTTCTCAATTGTCCATGTGCCCAGGATTTGTGGTCTTTTATTGAGGGTTATATATTTTAGAAAGGTTAAGAAAATAAAAAAATTCAATGCATTTAATTGTTTTTCGGTTGATTGCAGACAAAGACAGTGGATTTAATGTCCTTCTGTCTCTCTGCAGGCCTGCAGTCTCTCACCCGTTACAATGAGACCACAGACTGGCAAAAGAAACTGACCCCAGAGGAGTTTGTAGTCACCAGAGAGAAAGGGACTGAGGTGGTGAGTACTGCATACATACATTATCTACCAGAAAAACATACAGGTGGACTTTGCTCACTTCTGTATGTTTTCTGTTTCAGGTTCAACCAGCTACAAACCTGCTTTATGAGAGAGAAGCTCTCAGATTATAAATAATGTTAAAAGTACAAAGATCTTTTACTTAAAGTGGACCTATCATGCTATATTTGAATAATATAGTGTAGGACCATACCTATATAAGGCATATTTATACTTTTTATTTTTCAAAATACCAAACAGATCATGCATTTTAGCCATTCCTCATTTCGCTCAATTTAACACTGTCTTTCCATGGGCTGATTTTGTGAGAACAGCACCATCTACAGGCCTGGCATATGTACTACAGCGTCTCCAGCGCTTTCGAACGGCAATGTCCGTGGCTGTCTCCTCCTGATTGGTGGAGTTGGCCCAATAGCCGTAGCGCCACTTCTGTGACGTTATAGAAGTTTTCAAATCTGGATCAGTCTGTATCAGATCCGTTGCAGCCCCTTTTTAAGAGATTTGGGTATGGAGGAAAATAGAGAGGGTTGTGTTTTCTGACACTTGGTGAGTTCCCTCGAACACCGGAGACACATATTCATGTATAAAAGACGTACAAGAGTTCATTTAGCATGATAGGTCACCTTTAAAGGTGGGGTAGGTAATTTTGGAGAAACCAGCTCGAGTGCGCTAGAATTAGAAAATACACAACCGGAAATAATCTGCCACTTCCTTACAGAGCCCCTCCTCCAACACACACGAACGCGCACATGACCAATGAGGGCACGAGATAAGTTTGTGCACAGATGGAAGGCTGACAGGCAGGTAGGCCATCCAGTTACTTTAGCCGGGCCGGCTCAGATGATTGGTCGTGCTTTTTGCAGTACCACGGCTTCCACAGATGATATTTTTTAATGTATTTTTTGTCAAAGCACTTCAGATATTCATTGCTATCGGGATGTTAAGAGCATTCCATGGAATATAACAAAAAGTGTATCTCGAGCGGGTTTCTCAAACTTACCTATACCTCACCTTTAAAGGTGTATGTAATTTATTTCAGAAACACTTTTTTTAATTAGGTACAAAAAGTAAAAATGCCTTGCAACAAGTGAAGTCATGCATCCACAGTTTTATTACTTTACTTGGTAGTTTTATCTATAATAAAACATCTTCTTGCATGAGTTGAAAAAATGTAGAATCGTAAAAAGTACTATATTGCCATCACAGATATGGAGTAAAAGTATAAAGTAGCAGGAAATGAAAATACTCAAGGAAAGTACAAGTACCTCAAACTGTAACTAAATACTATATATAAAAATAATAAGGGAAAAGGACTGTACAGGAGTTAAAAAAAAAAAGAGCATTAGGGCACAAAACTAGTGAAAATATCCTCAGCTGTTAGTTGTGTGTTTCTGCTTCTAATACGAAGTGTGTGTGTATTTGTGTGTGTTCTCAGCCCTTTAGTGGGATCTACCTTAACCATACTGAAGTGGGGATGTACCACTGTGTCTGCTGTGATACTCCGCTTTTTAAGTAAGTAAGTTTAATGAGTGAATACTTCCCAACATAAATGAGATATTTGAATAGAAATGCATTAGCAGATTCTGATTTAGGAAATGCTCCTTCCTCTCTTGATAGCTCAGAGGCTAAGTATGACTCTGGGACGGGCTGGCCGGCATTCAAAGAGGCTCATGGGACATGGGAGCGGGACGAAAGCCACGTCTCCATCATTCGTCGCCCTGACAACAGCCTGGGTAATGCTGGGACTGAGGTCCTTTGTAAAAACGTGAGTGGTTTCCTGAGCACTGGAGCCAAGGTTCAGTTTGCTCAATATATCTCTGGGTGCAGTTTTTATAAAGCAGTAAAGTTAGATTCTTCGATCCATTGAATTATATCTTTGCATTCAGAATTTCATGGACTCATTTAGTATTTTTTTATTGATATTTGGGTGTGTGTTTGCTGCAGTGTGATTCCCACCTGGGTCATGTGTTCGATGACGGCCCGGACCCCACAGGTCAGCGGTTCTGCATCAACAGCCTGGCACTCACCTTTAAACCCAGAGAAACCAACAAGCCTGAAAACAAGGAGGGGCAGAACTAAACCCACTGGACTTATAGACACATCTGTGTTTCATTTTACACATCGAAGGACCGCCCAAATGTCAATAGTCATTCAAAAGTGTTTGACCTAAACATGTTTGCAAGCTTTGTGTGTCACAAAATGTCTTGGTAATTGAATTTTGAATGAAGAGGACCTGGTGTTTATGGATATAAACTGGGCAGAAATCTACATACAGCTCCTTTAAAAACACGTTTCCTAAAAAGTAATTGTAGTAACTGTTGTATTATTCACTAATTCTTTGTTGAGTTGGTCACCCTGAATGTAAAAACTGGATGTATGAATGTTGGAAAAAGGTCAAAATACAATCTGCCTGAATTAAGACAACCTCTTTTATGTAGAGATTGCAAAACACAGGAGTTATGACATTATTGATTCTGTGTTTTCAGACATCAAATTGTTTCATCTTTTAGGAATCAAAATCTAAATAACTTGTCAATAAATGCACCTTTTGTAAGTTCTCTGAATGTATGGTGATGCTCTGTCTGAGTTTCTTAAGACTTCAAGTTGAATAAGAATGACTTGCTGCCCCCTTCTGATGCTCACAGTGCAGCACCGCAGCGTGGCCTCATATCTGCCAGTAAACCAAGCTAATATTTAACAGACCATCCTGCATTGCACATTGTTTGTCCCCTGCTCTCTGTCTGTTTACACATTTCACGTGTCTGTGTACTTGAGGTTGGGTAAATCAGATTGGGATTTCAGCACACAGAGACAGAGGGGACAGAAAATACAACACAAGAAGACAAAAGGAAACGAGAAGTCAGAATCCAGGAACCCAGGAGAGGATTCTGTGTTTATTCCTGAGTGATGGCTGGAGTATGGCACTGCATGCTGGCAGCGGCTGTGTTGATGTGTGTGTGTTTATGGGATTCCACTGAGGCTGTAGGGGGGGCTGCAAGTCGTCCACGACCCCAAAGACCACGTCGTAAGAAGCCAAAGGTCGATCCCATTGACCTGGCCCCCGCTGCACAGAACGTAGACATACAACAGGTGAACCACTGAACACGTGCTTTTACATTTGATACATCAGGTACATTTTGCTTATGACACTGTGTGCATTTAATAGAAGGACTTTTTGTTATAATAAATATCTTTACATTGTGTTGGTATTTTATTTAAGTTTCCAGGCAGAGTTGTGGCGACTTGAGCAGACTTACAGTGATTCTGGTCCTCACTTTTTACCTGTCCGAATAATTTTAAATAATAGCATTGCAAAAAGAATCAGTGGAAACAATGTGAATGACCTGGAGAGAATAGCCCCAAAAAACTGACATTTTGCTTCAAGAAGAATCAGAAAAAGGGAATTTTGTGACGCACTTGCCATATATTGCAGGTTTTTGAACAATTTGTATATTGTTTAACATTTAAAGCTAATACTAAAGGAGGTAGAACAATGTAACCATTATATGCAAGTACCCATGCTAAAAAGAGGATTTGACAAATGTTTCACGTGATTTGTTATGGATTAGTGGGGGAGT